ATCATGGTTAGCCCATTTAAATAAAGGTAATTATGACAACAAGCCATACAGTAATTTAAAACAACAAAAAAAGTGATATAAGCACTGGAAAGATGGGAGGTGGTGAAAAGAATGTGTACTGGCTAAATCCACAGAAAAGTTTCTTAAAAGAAAATAACAACGATCAGCATTTAACTTAGAAAAACAAGTAAAAAGCAAAAACTTCAAAAGTTTTTAGCGACTGCGTATTCTCTCCTGGGATCTTCTAAATGATTTTTCTTTTAATTTGCATAAGGTTCACACATTGTGCCTTAAATTCTATGACTTTTCTTTTAGTGATGACAGAAACATGAGTATGATCTAAGAGAAAAGGCACTCTCACAGGGTCTCCTCACACTGTAATCACTTTTCCCTAACTCTCCAGCTCCTTAGATATTGAGCACCTGGACAAGCACCAGGCCTGTTTTCAGGCCAATCCAAGGATCCAACCTGTGGTTAACCATGCAGCTTCCAGGACTACAATCCAGTACACCCTGGACTGCATCACCTAGGTTGGCCTTCTATGGTTTTTGACAACGCATAACCTCATTAATTTTTAGACACTCTTCTAATGCAAGCTACTTGACAGGTGTACACAAAATGAAAGCACATGGCTATGCTCCAATAAAGCTTTATGGAAATTGAAATTTGCAAATATTCTGATTTAAAAACAAAAAAAACTTATGATTAGACTAATCAGGTGGTATGTGGATCCCACATGGCTGAATGCAAGGTTGGAGTGCAAAACTGGGAGCTTGAAAAACACTCCAGCACCAGCATGCAGACCAAAATCTCAAGAGAATGAAAGAAAAGAAACTGTGGCATGGCCATACCCCTGGAGGGTGATTTCTCTCTTTCTCCCTCTCTCTAGCTCTCTCCAGTGAGTGTACACACTCTACAGAAACTTAAAAAAAAAAACAAAAACTTATGATTATATAAATCATCTCAGCTTGTACACCATTCAAAAACAGGCTGGATTTGACACATGAAATGTAGTCTGCTAACCCCTGTCCTAAAGGAAAGCAAAAAGGCTGATGCAGATTGTCCAGAAGTTGAAGATGAGAAACTTTCACCAGTGAAATTCCAGACAGCCTATACTACCCATGCATGCACGCAAAAACCAAGCACATGGACAGCTACACCCAGTTACCAGTACTAGTTTTCTGTTTTAATAAGGTTTTTGACACAGGGCCCATGTACTCACCAAAGAGTCAGACACACACTGAGAAAGTGAGAAATCACACCCTCACCCCCACTCCTGGCCACACCACAATCTCGTCTCCATTCTCTCAGGATTTTGGGCACACACACATGAAGCCATGTCCAGCATGACCCTCAAGCCGCCAGGTCTGAGGCTCAAACCATGGTTGGCCATGTGGGAGTTTAGGGCCTCAACCACTATACCACCCACTGATCCCAACAATACTAGTTTCTTTTTCTTTCTTTTTTGTTTTTTTGAGAGGTTTTCGCTATAGGGCACGTGCACTTGCCAGACAGACAGAGAGAGACATAGAGACAGAAAGTGAGAAATCACCCCCCGGGGGGGTGGTCACACCACAATCCCTTCTCCTCCATTCTCCTCTCAGGATCTTGGGCAAGCACACACACGCGCCCAGCGTGAGTTTTAAGCCACCGGTCCGGGACTGACGCAAACCACAGGCGACTACGTGGGAGTCCAGCGACATAGCCATTATGCTAACTGCTGGTTCACAACAATACTAGTTTCTTAAGACTATTTTGACCCTTATCTCTGCTCCCTTACTTATCTCTGTCCTGAAGTCAGATTACAACAAAGGAGGGTACAGGGACAAGAGAAGAGACTCAAAGTACAAAAACAGTTAAGAAACCAACTCAGTACTTCTCTCCACTATGATTTCTGTTCCTGAACTTAACCCAAACTGGGACAGAAAGAGGGAAAAGGTTCTAAATGGAATACCAATTTTAAAGTAGATGATGAGAGACCATATTTTTCTTTTTTTAAGAGCGATTTTTGCTATAGGGCACATGCACTTGCCAGGGAGACAGAGAAAGTGAGAAATCATTGGGGGGAGGTAGGTAGAAGGGGTGGCCAGTCCTCAATCCCTACTCCTTCATTCTCCTCAATCCCTTCTCCTCTGTTCTCTCCGGATTTTGGGCACTCATGAACTGTGTGATTGTCAAGTCACCAGGTCTGGGACTCAAAGAGCAGTCACCCATGTGAGAGTCCAGCACCTTAACTACTATGCCACTGACTGGCCCCAAGAGGCCATACTTTGCAATATCCAAAACTAACTGAAAGCATCAAAATCTGCCCAGATTCACAAAATTGTGGGACAAAATAATTAACAAATAATCTTTAAAGCCAGGAAGAAGAAAGAATAAAGTTGCTCTCTGTATTCAAACTGCTAAAGACTTATTTCATTCAGTAAACTCTTACAGTTACATAACCAAAGGACCACCATTCAGAATATGTAAAGAATTCTTACCAGTCAATAAGTATCTTACCAAAAGAAAAATGGACAAATACGAACAGTCTTTAAAAATACAAAAAATAAATGTAAAAATGTTCAGTTTCACGAACAGTCAAGGAAAGGAGACAGATATATATATATGTATGTATATTTATATATGTATTTAATTTCATACACATCAGATTAGAAAAATGTTTAAGTCCGACAACACCAGGTGTTAACAAGAACCTGGCTAAAGGAGCGAACGAAGTGGCAGTACAAAAGTACTGCTTACACCCAAGGTGCGTTAACCTAACAGTCAATGGCTTCCATTCGAATGTTAAATTTAAGGTGCCAGGAGTAGCTCTGGAGCCTTTCTTTGGCAACAGTCAAGAGCCTTAAGAGCAGAGATGCCTTTTTGCATCACAACACCCATCTCACTCACGGCGATCAAAAACTTTTTTAGGCTAACCAGATGAGGAAGCCACGCCCACATTTTTAGGACGTGAAATTTTAAGCCACATTATCTGACTGCTCCCTACAACTTAAGATCTGGGAAGAGCTTAAATGATTTGCAAGAAACCGAAACTCCCCGAAACAGACACGACGACGGAGAAACAGTAGAGCTCGGGGATCTAGCGAACCCGGCCTGAGGGCTCCCACTGCAAGGGAAGCGGCAGGAACTGAAATGAAGTGCAAGACTGGACCCGCTCGCTCACCCCGAGCCGAGCCCAGAGCCCGGTCTCGCAGCCCAACAACAAGGCTGCAGGCGCTTCTGGCCGCGGGCTGTCATTCCCTACCAGTCGGGGCGCCCCGCGGGCTCACAGACAGGGGAGGGCCAAGGGGCAGGGGTCGGCCGCCGAGGCCTCGCCCTCAGACGACAGCTGCAAGGCTGTGAGGAGGGCTCCGGGAGGAGGGGCCGCAGCCCCGGCCCGCCCCGAAGCCGCGGAGGCAAAACAGAAACCCAACGT